CATGGTTTTTTTTTTTTTTTTTTAAATCCATTCTGCCATTCTCTGTCTCTTGACTGGTACATTTAAACCATTTACGTTTGGTATGATTATTGATAGTTATGAGTTTACTACTTCTATTTTGTTGTGCTTTCTATTGTGGTGTTAACAGTTTCTTTGTTCTGCTTAATTCTCTGTGCTGAGTTCTTTTTCTTTATGGATTTTCTTTTAGTCTCCTTTATTGTTAATTTTGTGTTTGCTGAGTCTTCTTGATTTTCTTCTTTTTTATTTTCGTGAGTAGATTTATTAATTTTGTTTGTGGTTTCTCTGAAATTTGCCTTTCTCTTCCTAAGTTTTAAACAGTCTGTTGTATCTTGATATTGCCTTGACTTTCTCTCCATATGCAAGTTGTGTAACAACACCAGTCATTTCCCCTTTGTGGTTTGACGTTGTCATTGTTTACAGGTTGACATTTCTGGTTCCCTGTTTTCAATTTTGCAGCTTTATTTTGCTTTTGAGAATTCTGTATCTGGATTGGTATCTGGGTGATGCTGCCATGTGTCTTCATCTCTGGTTGTTGTCTGATGTCGTTGGTTCTGTGTCCAAAGGACTCCCTTTAATATTTCTTATAAGGCTGGTCTGCTTTTTATAAATTCCCTTAATTTCTGTTTAGCTGGGAACATCCTAGTTTTGCCATCATATTTGAAAGACGGTTTTACTGGATATATGATTCTTGATTGACAATTCTTTTCTTTCAGGGTTTTATATATGTTATTGCATTGCCTTCTTGCCTGCATGGTTTCTGCTGAGAAATCAGAACTTAAGTTTTACTGGTTCCCCTTTGTAGGTGATATTCTTCATGGACTTCTCTCAGAATTCTTTTTTTGTCTTTGGTTTTGAGAAGTTTGATTATTATAAGTCTTGGTGACTTTCTTTTGGGGTCTATCCTGTATAAGATTTGTTGAGCTTCTTGAATGTAAACCTTCTCATCTTTCATAATACTAGGGAAATTTTGAGCTTCTTGGATGGAAACTTTCTTGTCTTTCATGGTAATCAGGGAAGTTTTCTGCCAATAAATCTTCAACAATTCTCTCTGTGCTCTTTTTTTTCTCCTCCTGTTCTGGAATTCCAATTATGCATAAATTATTCCTCTTGATAGTGTCCCACATAACTCTTAGGCTTTTTTCTGTTTGTTCCTCAAATTAGTATCAAGGGACTTATCATCTATTTTGCTGATTATTTCTTCCATTTATTCAATTCTATGTCTGTGTCCTTCCATTGAATTATCTATTTCTGATATTTTATCGTTAATCTTCTGGATTTCTAGTTGCTGTTTTTGCATGGTTTCTAGTTATCTGTTTATTTTCTCATTTTGTTCTTGTATTGTTTTCTTGAATCTTCTGCAGTTTTGCTTGTGTTTTCCTTGATTTCTTTGACCATCCTATATATGTCTTTTGAATTCTTTTTCAGGTAATTCTATTACCATTTCTTCCTCAGGAAGGTTTTCTGGCCCTTTATTTTGCTCAGCAGTTTGAGCCATCCTTTTCTGTTTCCTCATATGATTTGTTATTGTCTGCTGTCTCTGAGGCATTAAGTTTGGTGCTAGCAGTTAGCACATTCTCTGAGGTCAGGGCAGGACATCTCCATATCCACTCTGCAGGAGTGCTACCCAAATGGATGGGTGGGCCTGCAGTGCGTGCATGAACTGGCATCTCAGTAGGTGGTGAGGTATCAAGGGGTTTCAGTGCAAGTGCAGATGGCCTGCAGGAACTGTTTGGGTGTGGAATATGTGCTGTTGCAGCTGTGTGGATGTTAGATGAGGGCACTAGGATCTCTTGCTCATTGTTTGGCAGAGGTGTAGCTGGTGCCTGTCAGGATGTGACTGATGTTGCTGGTGAGGTGATGTGTCTGTCTGGCCAGTCACTTGGATGTGGGTGCAGTGAGTGTTCTTGCTGGTAGCTGGGCTGGGTGCTGTGTGTGCACGTCAGTTGTGAGTGATCAGGGTAAGGGTGCACAGGTCACCAGTCACCAGGTGGGTGGCATGGGAACTTTCATCACTGGTTGTCAGTTGAGCAGGGTGGTGCAGGGTGGTCGGAACAAGTGAACATGAGCCTCCAGTTGCAGATCTGTCAGCACGTGAGCATGTGCTGTGGATCACTGGCAGGCGTGGCTGCAGGGGGATGTGTTGGGGTGAGCGCAAGCCACTGGTCACAGGTCCCATGATGTGTCAGCTTGCACGCTGTGGATCACCGAGTGAGGGGGTGACAGGGGGCTCATCACTAGTCACCAGGAGGCAGGGATTGGGGGAAGAGGGAAGCGTGTTTCCTCATCTCTGGTATGGGCACTGGGGCACTCCCCGCAGAGTATAGCCAGTGATCAGGACCCAGCCTGACCAAATGTGAGAAAGGGGTGCTGTCCAGAGTCTAGTCAGGTGGGGAATCTTCAGCTACCACTCCACAGATCCTCTACTCCACCAGTGCCACCCACCCAAATGACCAGGGCTAAAACATTTTGTTGTATTCTTTAGTGCTTTGTTTTCATTTTATCTTGTAAGTGGATCTTATATTACACAGCTAATAGTAATAATAAGTAAACATTTGCTGAGTGCTTACATTGTTCTGAACACTTTACATGTATGAAATCTTGCTCCTAACAGTGCCTTTAGTTATAGACGCTATTTCCATTTTATGGGTAGGTAATTTAAGCTCACACACCTCCTAATGGTTGATGAGTAGTTCATACACCCACTCCTCACTTATCAACATAGTTAGGTTCCAAAGACCAGGTTGTTAAGCAGAAATTGGCATTATGTGAAAATGGAAGATGACCATATCAGATCACAAAATGAAGGATGACTATATCATTACATAACTGTCAAATTACATATTACATAACTGACAAATTATGTCATTACATAACTCCCAGGCCACTGAGAATCATGGTCCAGCCAAGTTGACACACAACCTTAACCATCACTTCCAGCCTCACACCTTGGCATTCGTTATTGCCATGTGTTCATCATTAATGCAGAAAATAGTTGGGTAGTAGATTTTTTACTATTGTCATGAATGCGAAATATCAGATAACGAGATAGTCGATAAGTGCAGAGTAGCTGTAGTAGAAAGGAACTATCTATTAAGTGAGATTGTAAGTAAAAGCAAATTCTTCTGTTAATTCCCTGGAATACTTGAAAATTTTCTTAGGAGTTGGTTTCAATGTTATTTAAGGATGGCTTGGTCTAGAATAGGTACTCTCCTTCCTGGAGAAAAATTCAGATATAAAGAATAAAGTGATACAAATTCTTGATCCTAAAGAGAATAACTGTTTTTAAAATTTCAGGTCATATACACTCAGAGAAGTGAAATTTGGTAATTTGAGAAGGATCATTTCAAATTTCTCTTGCTGAAAGATAAACTGACAGGGAGACTTCTGATTAGGTAAAGATAGTCATTAAGTTCTTTGTGTTGAGGTAGGTAGAGTCTCTGGGTGGTGTAAACAGTTAATGAACTTGGCTGCTAACTGAAAGGTTGGAGGTTTGAGTCCACCCAGAGGCACCTTGAAAGAAAGGCCTGGTGATCTATTTCAAAAAAAAATCAGCCATTAAAAATCCTATGGAGCACAATTGTTTTCTGACACACATGGGGTGTGGTTCGACTCAATGGACTCGACTTGATGGTAACTGTTTTTTTTCTTTTTTTAAATTTCTCTTGGGTTTTGGTATCCTGGTAGTAGTGTTTAGGGACTTAGTACTGTTGTTGGAAGGTAGAAGGAAGGATGGAGCAGAAGAGTTATTATTTTAATTAGCTATAATCATTTAAGAATTGTAATCTCTTACATCTGTGATTGGAGCACTCTGTTCATAATCCACATTGCAAAATCACAGAAGCCCTATTTGCCTGATGTTAATGCTCTCTACTTGTGTATAGAATGAGATAAAATATTTTTGAGACCTGTATTTGCAGACCTAAATATAGAATTAAAATGATAGTCATAAGCAGAAAATAATTTTACAATTATATTCTATGTCTTTAAAAATATGTTTCTTTACTTAAAATATTTTAAATTTATTTAGTTCTTCCTGCATTGTATATAAGTAGTTCTCAAAGTCAAATGGCCTCTAAGATGACCAGATCCCAGGGGAGGTGCTGTGTGATATGTTGTAGTTTATAATCTGATAAAATTAAATGACTTCCTGAAGGATTCCACCAGATATCACTAATTAAAATGACCAGTCACTAAGGATACCGAACAGTATTCTTTAGCGTGCAGTTTTTTTCCTCCTGCTTAAGACTTGGTTTTTCTTCTTCTGTTTTTTCTTTATAAGTATTTTTGATAGATTTTAAATAATATACTTTTATAAAAGCCACAAGGTCTCTGGGTCGCACACACGGTTGCTCTCAGCTACTAACCTAAAGGTTGTTTGAACTCACCCAGTGGCCCTACAGAAGAAAGGCCTGGCAATCTGCTTCTGTAAAGATTATAGCCAAGATGACCCTATGGAGCAGTTCTACTCTGTAACACATGAAGTTGCCATGAGTTGGAATCAGTTTTTTGTTTTTGTAATAAAATCCATATCTTATAAACATGATAATATTCCTATTAATTTTGAAAGAGGAATTGTCATCTTGTTTAATGTATCTTTCTGTAGTCCTTATACATAGTTTAGGTAAATATTACTCATTTATTAGTGTTTTTTTATGTTTATGACATTGAAACACAATTACTCTGATCTTTTAGGGTGGAATAATTAATGATTGTTCTGAATTGATTGGTCCTGCAGAAGCCTATTCGGATTCCCACCCTGATAGCTTTGCTACATGTAGTACAGAAGGTAAGAAATTGTAATTTTTCCATTTTAATGGTTTTCATTGCAGAAGACTATAAATCATATTTACACTACAAAAAAGTAGATGGATATAGGAGTTTGAGAGTATTTCCCTGATTCTAAGATACTTTTTAAAAACATTTTAATATCACTGATGCTGGGGTGCATCTTTGTGGTGCGATGGATTGCTTTTATGTGACCTTTCTCATCTTAGTCTTGTAACTCACACAAAATGATTGGGTGGGACTACCCAAATAAGGTGTATGGAACCCTAACAAGGGGATTGGTCAGTTTTGCCATCCTGTTAGGCTTAAAAGAGAGCCAACCCCTGAGCAGAAGGGGGACCTGACTATCACCAAGAAGAAGAGATGATAGTGGAGCACATCCTTCGGACCCAGGGTCCCTGCGCTGAGAACCTCCTAGACGCAGGAGACAGAGACAGAGCTGTAACACTGGAGATAGTGCAAGATGGCAAGAAGTGGTGGCAGCAGAACCTGGATACTGGAACAAGATGGTGCATTGGGCTTCCCGGCCCACAGAACAAGATGGTTACAGTGAGTGTGCTGACCCATAGAGAGTGAGAGAGCTGAGTGCCTTTGCGCAGGAGACTTCCTGGTAGAGTGGGTGCCTATGGCCACTTATTGGCAGAGCTTAAGAGCTTTGTAACATGTGCACTAGCAGGGCAGAGGCTGGGTCAGCTCAAGAGGCCCAAGGACCAAGAGGCTGAGGGCCAGGGAGAGGCCTGCCTCTGAGCATGGCCAAGAAGCTGTCCTGACTGAAGAACTGTATCCTGAGTTGTTCCTTGTCCTGAATTGTAACCTGTTACTTCTCTAATAAACCCCATAACTGTGAGTATGGTCTGTGAGTTCTGTGTGGTCACTGCAATGAATTACTGAACCCAGTAGAGAAGTAGAGAGTGCTTGGGGAAGGACGGTTGGTGTCAGAATTGGTAAAAATGTTGGAGAGAGGAGGTATGTCTGACCTCTGCCTCATAGGAATCAGCCTTGGGCTGTTGATGCTGATGGTGATTCTCCCCCCTTGTGAAGTTAGAGGAGGTCAGATGTCCCCACGTCACCATTTTTACAATTTGCAGTTGATAATATCATGTATTTAGTTGGCAGTTTCCCCCTGCTCTCAGTGGTATATAAAATAATGATTCATCGTATAAGTAGTGGTTTCTCAGATCTGATGAAATATTCAGAATTTGTATTGCCTTGTACAAGGATGCTTTGCTGAAGTTCATTTCACAGCATGCTGTTCTGGCTTTTAGACAATTTCAGGATTGGCTTTAAAAGTTTAGTCATTTACCCAGAAAGAATAAACCCAAGGCAGTTTTAGTGTTTTGATACATATTTTAATAAAGAGTCAAAAAAAGGTAATTTTTATAATTTTAATTACTTTAATTCTAGAATGCTTATTCTTTTATTTTATTCTTCTATTAAGCCATACATGATTTTTTTAGCTATATTTGAATTTCTATGAAGATTTAAAATACACACCGTATTTTTATGCAAATAATTTGCACCTTCTACGTTTTTTTGCTAACCGTTCCCTCCCCCCACGAGGTATTTTCATAAGTGCGCCATACTAACTTTTTTTTACAGTAACATGTAAAGAAAAAATTGGTATAGAGACACTTATGAAAATACCTTGTGGGTGGAGGTGGCGGTGGGCAAACAAATGTAGAAGGCACGCGCTATTTGGGTAAAAATATGGTACATTTTGACCTTTGGATTTACTCAGCTGGTTTCTTTCTGAGAAAGATTAGTAATTATCAGGGAAGACTATGGAATTAAAAAAAAGATTTAGGGAGAGAGATGAGTGGCAATCTTTGAAAAGAAATAGATTTGTTTGAGATGGCTTAAGTTGAGCTTATATAAAGATAAACTAAAAGACGAGATAATATTGCCTGGTCTTCTCCATGAGGAACAGTTTATGGCTGGAGAGGCTTCTTGGTGACTGTGAAATGGGAGGTCACCATAACCTCCTCACAGTGGTGTGTTTATGAGGGTATGTGCACCGACGTACATCTGTTCAAGTCAATTCCCATCTTGATTTGATAGGAGCAACGAGTTTTTTTCCATTATGTGGGCTGACCCCCTTAAAACTGGCTCATTAGTCTCTTACTGTTTCTCACGGTGGCTCCGTGGACAAGCACCGTCCTTTAGTGCCCTGTACAAAGCATGGGCAGCGCACGCTCAGAGTCTCCACTGAGCTCCCAACGCTCGACTATCCTGATTCATGCAGGATCATAGAAAATCATTGTTGACAGTAATTTTACTTTGTGTTCTGGCATGTTTTTTGGGAAAAATTTCTTCTGCTTGACTTGTTTTGATCTGAGATTCTTGCTAGACATTGGAAAACATAGCCTCTGCGTGGGGTCCTAATATGATTCTATTTCTAGAGCTAGTTTCCTTGGAAGATGACTTTTGTGGGATAACCTGATCTTGTGGCTGCCTTAGAGATTCCCTGTGCCTGAGAGAGGAATGCCGTTTTCCTGCAGAATGCACAGATGTTGTGACGTCTAATGTGTAGCAGAGAAGGTGCCCTGGTGGCCCAGTGGTAGAGAGACTCGGCTGCTAACTGAAAGAATCGGGGGGTTTGAACCCCCAGCCACTCCGTGGGAGAAAGATGAGGCAGTCTGCTTCTGTAAAGATCACAGCCTTGGAAACCCTATGGGGCAGTTGTACTCCGCTCTATAGGGCTGCTATGAGTTGAAATGGACTCGGAGGCAGTGGGTTTGGTTTTTGGTTTATATTCTTGTGATATCCAGAATAAGCCTTTATTAGTAGCTGAGAGTCAGCCAGGGTGAGAGAAGGGATGGCTGTGGTGGGAGCTGCACAGAGGTCTTTTGTCCTTTGCTGTGATTGACGAGAGGTGAGGAAGGGGCATTATCATTAGGAATGACTTGATTGTGTTCAGGGTAAAAAGGTGGCTGCATTAATGTTAAAGGAGATACAGCCTAAAGCTAAGGTGAGCATATAATTTATTGTCCAAATTGGGACACTTTTGAGAATTAAAGAGGATGTTATTAGTAATTACACCAAGACAATTCCATCAAGACTGCCGTGAACAAACCGGGCTGTATGGGTTACCTTACCTAATGCAGTTGCTCAGAGTTTATTTGGACATTTCAGAAAGGTAGGTTTTGCTTGGAAGAATCTATCTTTTAGGAATGTGCTTTTCTAAGGCTGATAGAAATTGGGGCTGTTTCTATTAAAAACACAGAAAAAGAGTTATGACATCTAAATGTAATACTAGCGTCATATCCTGTCAATGCACAGTTCAGTTTTCATATGTTACTGTCTTGAAAACACACCGTGATCTGCGAAGCATGAAAAAACATGGACCTGGAAATGCTGTTAATGCTTATGTTTTTCCTCCCTTTCAAAGCCTTTTTGCCTGGCTAATTAATCCTGCTGAAAGACATCTAGTGGACAAGTACAGCTAGATCAAAAGTGTCAGACAGCTTGCAAATTCATTGTTATATGAGAAGGGAAAATGGCTTTTAAATATCATGAGATTGTCTGGTGTCGTGAGCAAGTGGGGGATTTACTTTCACACCTAACGGTCTGCAAACCCCAGGGACAACCAGAGCGGGGGGCATCTAGTAGCAAAGGAGAGCCGGCAGCCAGCCCAGGCCGCAGGTCCGCAGCGCAGGGGAGGGCTGTAAAGGGATCCTGGTGGCAAGCTGTGGTTTGGACTTAGAATGTGAAGAGGGGATTGGCTCCATAACAACTCCTCTGAGTGCAGTATTTTAAATGGTGTTTAGAAGGTGAGTTGTCATTTTTTTTATACTCATGATTTAGTTTGCCAGTTGAATGAGCCAGAGGGGCAGATCTTAATATACAGTCTTATGTTTCAAGGTCCTTCAGTCACAGAGGGAATTACACGGTGAGTGTATCACTTCTCAGAGAACAGATGGAGAGCCTAAACGATCATTATGTTTGTTAGTACCTTAAAATGGGCTCCTGGTGGTGCGAACGGTTAAGCACTTGACTGCAGTGCCAACCCACCCAGACATGCCTTGGAAGAAAGGCCTGGTGATCTGCTTCCAAAAGATCACAGCCATGAAAACCCCATGGAGCACAGTTCTACTCTGCAACACATGGGGTTGCTATGGAATCAACTCAATGGCAACTGGTAACCTTAAAAATGCAATCAACAGGTCGTAATTCACCGTGAAAATCTTCTGAGGAAAACATAAAAAGCTAGGTTTCTGTTTTGTGTTTTTAAAATTATTTTATAGTACAGTGGAATAGAAGAAACTCCTTTAAGATTTCATAAAACCAATAATTCAGTGACTAACTGGTAAATATATTTTATTAAATATGGAACTGAAAACTATGAAATGGCTCAGTAAGTTTTTAGACAAAAAGTTAATATTGTTTTATAATTTTAAAATGAAATACTGGTTACAGTTTATCTTTTTTGTTCAAAGAAATTAAACTGTATATTCCTCCAGTCTGAACATTTGAACATGATGTTACATGACACTTACTAGAGACCAAAGATGAAAGAAGATCTAATTGGTTGTTAACATCTTAATTTCCATTTTTTGTTGAATTAAACTTAGCTATGAAGTTACTGTGACATTTGTGGAAGCATGACCAAAAATGCTACGTAGAAATTGAGCTTCCTGATGTGTCTCTCCTTACCTGCCAGTCTGTTGAAAGAGTTGCAGGGTGCTTTCTTGCCATTCTGGCCTCAGTATTGGAGCCTTTGATGTTGGTATCTCATCTGGTAACCTGTGTCATTTCCTCTTACTAATACATTATTTGGCTTCCTTTGCAGTTTTGGGAGGGATGTTTTCCAGGTACATGTGGCAAGTAAGAGTAAGCAACTGGGTGATCGTAACCACAAATAGAAATTGAGAGATCAGCGTCTTACATGTAGCAGATCTTAAGAGTCGGTAGTCTTAAAAATTTGGAAACAGATCGTGGTGATGGTGGCACAACATGATAAAAATAATGTCCCTGAATTGTACCTGTAAAAATGTTGAAATG